GCTGAGACGAAGGACTTCTTGCGTCAGCTGGGCCATGAATGATGATCCACGGTCTGAGATCAGGACTTCGGGAGCGCCGTGCCGGAGGACGATGGATTCAATGAAAAACTTGGCAACTTCCACGGCAGTTCCGGAAGGAAGGGCTTTCGTTTCGGCATACCGCGTGAGATAATCTGTGGCGACGATGATCCAGCGATTTCCCGACGTCGACGGCGGAAAAGGGCCAAGTAGATCCATTCCGATCTGCTGGAAGGGTGCTGTTGGCGGAGGAATTGACTGCAAGAGTCCGGCCGGCCTCGTCGGAGGTTTCTTTCGTCGCTGGCATTCATGACATGATCGCGTGTACATGTGGACGGTTTTGGGAAGCTTGGGCCAGTAATACTTTTCACGAATACGTGCCAGGGTCCGGCTGTAACCAAGGTGTCCGGACGTCGGGTCGTCGTGGCAGCCTTGAAAGATCTCCTCCCGGAGGTCGGTCGGGATTACCAGCAGCCATTTAGAGTTGTTGTTCCCGAAGTTCTCTTTGTAGAGTACACCTTGTCTAATGGCGAAGGTCGGCAGCGCTCGTGAAAAAACACGTGGCATGGCACTCCCGCGCCCTTCCAGGTGCTCTATTAGTGCGCGCAGCTCAGGATCGTCTCGTTGACGCCGGGCCATGTCTTCGATGTTCACTGCGCCCAGAAAACACTCGTCGTCATCGTCGTCGCTCCTGCCGGAAGGTGTTGCGACGGGAGCTCTGGACAGGCAGTCGGCGTCGCTGTGCTTGCGGCCTGACTTGTAGACGACGGTCATGTTGAACTCTTGTAGTCGGAGACTCCACCGCGCGAGGCGTCCTGACGGGTCCTTGAGGTTCGCAAGCCAGCAGAGCGAGTGGTGGTCCGTGACTACCCGGAACGGGCTCCCGTATAAGTACGGACGAAACTTCGTGATTGCCCAGACGACCGCAAGGCATTCTTTCTCAGTCGTGGAGTAATTTCTCTTCGCCTTGGTCAATGTCCGACTTGCGTAGGCGATGACTCGCTCGGTGCCTTCTTGTACTTGAACCAAAACCGCGCCAAGCCCTGCGTTACTTGCGTCCGTGTGAATCTCGGTTTCCGCATCCTGGTCGAAATGTCCAAGAACAGGAGGAGTCTGCAGTCGTCGCTTCAGCTCGTCAAATGCCTGCTGCTGTTCATCGGCCCATTCGAACTTCTCGGCGTCCTTCGTGAGGTGTGTGAGCGGTGCGGAAATTCTTGCGAAATCTCGAACGAAGCGCCGATAGTAGGCACATAGCCCAAGGAACCTTCGGACGGCCTTCTTGTCTCTTGGCGCTGGAAATGCTGCGACGGCACGAGTCTTCTCGGGGTCTGGGCGGACACCTTCGTTACTAACCACGTGGCCGAGGAACTTCAGTTCGTCATAAGCGAACCGACACTTTGACGGCTTCAGGGTGAGTCCGGCGGTCCGTACGGCTTGGAGAACTGCTCGGAGTCGTCGCAAGTGCTCGTCGAAGTCGCTGGAAAACACGACGACGTCGTCGAGGTAGACGAGACAGCTCTGCCACTTCAGTCCTGCCAGTACGGTGTCCATGACACGTTGGAAAGTTGCTGGCACCGTGCACAGTCCGAAGGGCATCACTTTGAACTCGTACAGTCCATCCGGCGTGACGAAGGCTGTCTTTTCTCGGTCCCTTTCGTCGACTTCGATCTGCCAGTAGCCGCTCTTCAGGTCCATCGATGAGAAATATCGAGAGTGGCGCAGCCGGTCTAGAGTGTCGTCGATGCGGGGGAGTGGGTAGACGTCTTTCTTCGTCACCGTGTTCAGCTGCCGGTAGTCTACACAGAAACTAAGCGTCCCGTCTTTCTTCTTAACCAGTACGACTGGAGAGGCCCAAGGACTGCTTGAAGGTTGAATTATGTCGTCGCTCAGCATTTCTTGAACTTGCTCCTGGATCGCCTGCCTTTCTTTAACGGAGACTCTGTATGGCGATCGATGCACAGGGCGCGCGTCGTCCTCGGTAACGATGCGGTGCTTCGCAACGGTGGTTTGGCGCACCTTCAACGACGTGGCAAAGCAGTCGCGGTATTCGGCGAGAAGGTTAATCAACTGTCGTCGTTTCGGGCCCGGGAGTTTAGGGTCAATGTCGAGCTGCGCTGGCGACGCACTGTTTTGCTGAGGTGGCGAGAATTCGTCAGTAATGGCGGCGACAGCGGCGGAGTTTTGGAGTTCCTCGACCTGGCCCACGGCTGCACCTTTTGTGAGGTGTTGCGCTTCATTTCGGAAGTTCGTGACGAGGACCACAGTGTGGCCATCCTGAAGTTCAGCAACTCCTCTTGCGACGCCTATTCCTCTTCCCAGAAGCAACTGGAGGCTTCCTTCGAGCAGAACTTCGCCGCAGAAATCTTCGGTGATCCCGACGGGTACGAAAACACTCGACCGCGGCGGTAAGTTCACGTGGCTGGCGAGGACTCGGACCGCAGATGACGTCGCTTTGGGTTCCTCCGGTGGTGAAACAGGCTTTCGCAGCGTCAACCGGTTTGCTCCGAGGTCGATGACGGCGCCATACTCGCAGAGGAAGTCCATTCCGAGGATAACGTCCCTCGAACAGTCTTGCAGAACGACGAACTTTACAGGGCACGTCTCACCGTGGATCTCGACGCGAGCGGTGCATCGCCCGACTGGTGTGATGAGGTGCCCACCGGCGGTTCGTATTTGAGGTCCATCCCACGGCGTCGTGACTTTTCGAAGGCGGCGGGAGAGCCTCCCACTCAAAACTGAGTAGTCTGCTCCGGTGTCCACGAGTGCCGATGCGTCGTGGCCGTCGATGATGACGTTTAGGTTGTTGGACACCGTTTCAGGAGCGTCGTTTCGGTCTCCGGTAGCGTTCGAGTGGGGGCCCTCCGACGTTCGTGGAGGATCTTGGCGTCGGTCGTCTTCGGCAACTCCACCTCCAGGGGTTGCCGCGCCTAGTTTCCCCGGCGTGGAGCGAGGGGCGACAGGCTTTCACGTCGGGGTCGGTGCATCGGCGAAGCTGGACGTCGTGGTGAAGGCGATCGGAACTCTCGGCGGGACGCAGGCTCGGGGGACTGGGGTCGTCGCAAGTACTCGTCGATCTCCCGAGGGCGTTCACCATACCTGGGACGCGGGTCGCTTGGGTGGAATCCGCGCAGCCCGAGTCGTCGGTATGGGCATCGGCGGTACACATGGTCAGCTTCCCCGCAGTGGTAACACAGCGGGCGTCGGTCGGCCGTCCTCCAGACGTCTGTCTTCCTCGGCGCAGGTCGGTCTGGGTGAACGTGCGCCTGATCTTCCTGTCGTCGGGGATACTGCGGCGTTGGGGCGTCTCTTCGGGGTGGCGCCGCGGCTTGGCGGGGAGCTTGCGGCGGTCGTCGGGCTATGGCAGCGTAGCTCAACGTTGGTTCCTGCGGTGCCACCGTGGTGACGGGAACCTCTGGTTGGAGCGCCCGTTGTACTTCCTCGCGCACAGCCTCGGCAATGGAAAGTGTCGCTGGACGACTTGCGGCTAACAGCAACTGGCGGAGTTCCTCCCGGACGACCTCCCGGATAATTTCGCGGATATCCGTACCAGGAGCGTGCTCGCCGCCAAGCAGCGCGGTTGCAGCGACACTTGGATGTCGCTGGTAGTGGGAAGCGCGCGCTTGGAGGGCGCGCTCGATGTTTGTCGCCTCGGTGACGAAGGCTTCGACGGTGCCCGGCGGGTTGCGCACGAGGCCTCCAAAGATGTCGTCTCTCACCCCGCGCATGAGGACCCGCAGCTTCTTGTCGTCTGTGGCTCGTGGGTCGGCACGGGCGCTCAGGCGGAGGACATCTTCTACGAAGCTTGTGATGCTTTCGTCGGGGCCCTGCGTTCGAATTCTGAGGAGATCTTCTGCCTTCTCCCGTCGGTGTAGGGTGGCGAACGTCCGCTGCAACTCGGCCGCACAGATGTCCCACGACGTAAGCGAAGCCTCGTGATTCTCGAACCAATGCCTCGCAGTACCCTCCAGCGAAAAGTAGAGGTTCTGGAGGCACTGCTCCGCAGTCCATCCGTTGTGCCGCGCCACACGCTCGTAGTGCTTGATCCAGTCTTCGACATCCTCATGGATCTCGCCGTGGAAGGGAGTCGGCGTACGGGGAGCGGCGGGCAGGTAGACGACGGCAGGAGCGGCGGGGGTTGGCGACTGGTCGGCCATCGTCGGCTTCGTTGGCTGCTTGGTCCTGGGCGGCAGAAGTCCGAATTCCGGGTGTAGGCCTTGGGTGCGACGACTGAACCGGATCTCGGTAGTGCCTTCGTCGGTTCTTCGTGGGCTTGGCGTCGGACTTGCACTGCGAACCCTCGGAGGGGAACGCTGCACGGGCATGCGTTACCCCGCACCTCCACCAATATGTCACGGGGGGTGACCAAAAAAACAATAGATGCACAGGAAGAAATAAACGTTTAATGTGGCGAACTTGTGCCAAAAATAAAAGAGTACAAAAGATAATAACAAAGCGTCGCGGGCGTCGAAATCGGCGAAACCGCAGAATCGAGCGCTGGGGCGAGACTGACTCCGCTCGCCTTGCGGAATCCCTTATGTACCCTCGTGGGTTTCTGGATCGTTCGGCGTAGAAGGTTCGGTGTGTAGAACATTCTAACCTCGAATCAGCAAGACGGTTCTCGAATTCACTAGAACATCAAATTACACTGTCAACAAAAATGTGTAGTCGCGGCCAGGAATCGAACCCTGGCCTTCTGCGTGGGAGGCAAGCGTGATAACCGTTAGGCCACGCGCGCGCTGCCTACTTGGCCAGCTGCGCGCGCGGCAATATCATATGGCAACGAGTTCCCCACCAAATCTGACTTTAAAATCAAGTTCACAGTGTCACGCGATGCCATGGAGTCATGGGACGTCACGGGACGCAGCATATTCGCCCCATGGAGTTCAGGATTCACCATGACGTCATGCGCATGTCTTGTGTTCTAGACGGTATTGCTTTACAAGGGTGCCGCGGATGGAGTCCAAATTGAAAACATATTGCAGGTTTGGGACGACGAAGACATCACTTTTGCAGAGCTCCTCAAGATGTGTCAGCGATATGCCGCTGGGTTCCAGAGACATGGAGTTAAGAAAGGCGAGAAGGTCCTGGTGCATTTGGACAATTCCCTGGAAAACATGATCGCCATGTACAGCGTCATTTTTGCCGGGGGAGTTGCTGCGGTATCCGATCCGATCTTGTCAAACGGTGAGGAGAAAATATGGTTGTGACTTGCGCGAAAGAATATTTCGTAGAAAGGTAAACTTCGCTTCTTTGACTATCGGCTACCCGATCTGCCAATTAAAAGGCGAACGCGAGATTGTGACAGAGACACTGCGAAGTACGCGACGTTCCTGTCTTGAGATTGTGCCACGTATTCGTTTATCACTGTGTAAAGAACTTTTATCTTCTCACATTCCTTTTCTGTGCGCACCAAACAGTGTTTCCGGGTTTCGAACTTTCAACGCTTGCCCATAAATGAAGGCAAACTATAATGCGCAAGAACGTAATATCTAAAAAAAAAACTTAAGTTGGGACAAGGAAAGGCACGTGCACTTGAGTGCTGTCTTCTTCTCTCCTGACCAAATGGGTGTGTTCTTTCTTTGTGCCCTTACCGCCAAGTGCCCCACAACTCGTTTGGTTCTCTCAACCACTCCTTGATTTTTTTTTATGTTTCCCACAGCATTAACGGTTTTCCCACTCCTAAGGTCATGTTCCCGCAAGTAGAGGCAGCTTCTTGGAAAGCCTCGTGCTCCGGGGCTACCTGGTTGCAGGCCAGCTATGGTTTCGGTGGAGGCTGACCCAACGGCCTCTGTCAAAGTACTTGTTCTGACCGAATTAAGACGCAACTGGGAAAGACCACGATTACCAAACTAACTTACCAAAACAGCGGCCTCTCGCTCCCATTAAACAAAAAATCGACACCACCGACGACCCTACGTCACCAGAGTCTACACCAGCCAAACGACATCTCAGCAACTATGGAGGAGTCCCAGGCAAAGAGACGACGAGGGATTCATCTTAGTCGAACATCGCCGTAAAAGAACAACGAGTATGCCCGTGCTATTGGCTCCAACCGGAAGGGGGAAGCCGATTTCAACAGCTAAACCCGCCCAGGCTAAGTGAAAAAGTCAAGGCAGCTGCATGCGCACCCTTCGTGCGACATCGTTTACAGTCACCGGAGGACTAATGGTCGACGTGGCAAAGCCGGCGACGGTTAACTGACTGCTGAAGGTCCCAGGTAAAGATCCCTGTTCTTGCCAAAACCCCAAAAGTGTATATGCAAACTATCGGACTGATCAAAGGCATGCTTAATTGGTACTCAAACTCACAGTTGACTGACTTCCTCGAACCAGTTGGAGCCATTGTAACACGTCGCCTATACCAGCGCAACGGCAAACTAGAAGAAGCCGTTCGACCGACAGATCGAGTCATAATCATATTTCGCCCTAACACAAAATGGATCTACCAAAGTCAACCATGGCTCCACCCGACATAGGGTGACCGACCATTTCGAAGCGCCAAGGTGTCTCAACCGCCAAGCTTTGGGCCACGTGGCGAAATACTGCAGAGGCATCACAACCTGCAAGCGATGCGGTGAAACTTATGCCACTAAGGCCCTATTCAGACGGGGCAATCTTTCCCTGCAACTTGACGTCGCAACACCAGCAACACAGGCCTTCGCGTCCACACACAGCAACCAATTGCTGAGATTCGCCATCATCATAATTAAATTTCGTTTTTCTTGCATCGTTTAGACACCGCGAGTAAAAGTGCTCTTATACGTTTAAAGTGAGTTGAGAGCATCCTAACTCATCTTTCTGAAGTGGTTTATTGCCAAAAACTATCACTTTCAAACCAGAATCAAGTATTTATATATGGGACACAGCTGATATATCAGAAGATTGGGTCATTCCAGTCTACAAACAAGGCAGACCACGCGACGCATTATCGTCATACCAATCCATTTATTTACTCCTCCTGTAATGACGCTGACAGAAAGAAGGATACATGCTCGCCTCACTTGGTGGCTTCAAATGAATCACTTATTACCACACTAGATGGCGGGATACAGGCGTAGGCTTTCTTCTCAAGAGAACATCGTACACCTGCTCAGTTTAATTGAACCAAGTCGTCAAGATCAAAGATAGACATTAGCAGTATATTTCGATGTTATAAAACCCAATGATAACGTTAATATAGCCGTTGTTCTTGCAAAGATAACGGCTATCGCTATCACGGGAAAAATTCAGTCTTCTCTACAAAGCATCCTCACAAACCGAACTCTCCAAGTTCGGCTTGGTGCGTCCCTTAGTACGTATCGCGAGTGTGCTCAATGCTTACCAACTGATAAGCTTTATCTCATCAATACTTTTCAAAATTGTTCTGGTCAAATTACCGACATCTCTCCCCGAGTACACTCTCCTCATCAATATATCATTGTATGCAGATGACCTTTTGCATTCATGTATCGGCAAATCGAAATCATAGTCTTCGAAACGCCGCCCAAGCAGCCAATACGGGATCAAGCAATGATTTACACGATTGTGGTCTAGAGATCTCACCGGAGGAAACCGCGTTCACGCTTTTTCTTGGGAAAGGCTGGAGAAGGACTAAAATTAATTTTACTATTTCCGCCGCGTACCCCAGCACAAACTCCTGGGAATCACATTGAACTCCCGCCTCAACTGGCATGCGCAAGCCTCTAATATAATAAAATCCATGCTCACAGCAAAAAATGCAATGCGTATACTAGGGTGGCGGGGCAATCGTGGGGAAACTTGCCAAGCTCTATGAAGCGCCATCATTCAGCCCTCATTGTCAGCCGTATATTATACTCATCAGTGTTGCGGAATGGGCACCCCCATTCCATTCCAATTCCATTCCGGAGAATTAGAGTTTTCGATAATTCCATTCCTTTCAACTCCTCGGAATGGGGACACTGGGCCCATTCCCACTCCTGGAATGGCGGAATCGTTCCATTCCATTCCTCTAATTCATAAACGTTAAAAGTGTCACTTGACAGCTGCATTACGTTGCAGGGTTGGGCAGAAATATTCAAAAATGTGTTTGGGAATACAAATACTGGGATAGATGAAAATAGCAGCTAAGATACTCATACTCAAGTCTCAAATATATATGTACAAATGTATCGCGATACCTATCGGAAATACATTTTAAAAAGAGGCTAAGAGTCTTTGGAAATACAAATATAAGAATACATTTTAGGCAGGCAGAAATATAAATACTGATAATGCAATACACTTTTCAAATTTCTTTGAGACGCTAACTGAGATGAGGCTTTACGTTTGAAGTAGAAGTTTTTTGTTGTTTTTTTTTTTTTTTTTCTGGTCCCGAAATTACTTTCCCGCAGGCTTGGCACTTCGCCTTGAAGGTAGTGATTCCGGACGAAGAGTCCTCAATGGGTTTAAAAAAAGTTCCATCAAGGATTGACCGCGGTCCCTTCCCTGGCATCCTGTCTGACTGACCAGTGATGCGAAAAGACTTCGGCCACTAAATAAATTCCATCAAAACATCACCACTTCCCTGTCCAATAAGGACATCCCCTGTCAGCACTGATCACATGACGCCACGGTGGGATGAACTAGTATTCTTGAATCTGTAGGTGTTGCCTTGAACGTGGAACTTTACCCACGCTGCTGTATGAAAAGACAATACGTACTCTCGTTGTAGGTGACCTCGTTGCAGACCATGCAGGTAGTTCCATTTGGAATTTTCGAGAAAAGTGGACCACCTGAAGCATCCTGAAGCACATGTCTTATCTTCTGTTACGGTTGAAAAATCGATATGGTGGCATCCCTGTTGTGACGGTCCTTCCTGCCGACTCTCCGGTTCCAACGCATGAATGGCAGTCTTCAAGTTTCGCCTAGCATCATTCAAACAGAGAGCTCGCGGATTGCGACCTGAGGTGGCCGGCACAGGTGCGAGCTCTCCGAGAAACAGCGCGCTCGAGACGAGTCGCAGGTGTACAAAGTCTGGGTCCGCACAGCGAGGCCACGTCTGGCCTCCTTCCTGGGTATCGGATCACCAGAGCAGCGGGTCACGTTCACGCCCGCTACACCGACGTCGACGTACCCTTGAGCCGTACAGTATTACAGGCGCAGACGCATTCGGATACATGTTGAACTTCACTGGTGAAAGGCGCCACCGCCGCCCTCCCCCCCCCCCCCCCTCCCCCCTGCTTTGACGCTTGTTTTTTGTATTGCATTTGTTTTTGCGTATAAGTCTGTTAGGGCTTTACGCGGGTTCGCAGTTTCCCGCACATTTTATTTCTGAACAACCGACTAAAAAAAAAAAGAGATTGTAAAGAGCTGTGCCCCATTCCATTCCCATTCCATTCCGGGCAAAAGGCACATAATTCCATTCCCATTCCGTTCCCTTCAACGTTACCGCCATTCCATTCCCATTCCATTCCGGGGTCGCGAAAATGCGGAATGATTCCGGAATCATTCCAACTCCGGAGTGGCAACTCCGCAACACTGATACTCATTGCCTTTCATTAGATTATCGCCAACTTACACTCAGGCTCTGGAACACATACATCGACAAGGTCATACGTACTAGCCCAGAAGTACCAAGATCACTGAAGAATGAAAAGGTGTACGCAGAAACTCGTGTTCTGACTTTACCAATCAGGGCTATCAAACGCCTCCTTTCTCAACAGATTTGTTAGTCGACCATGCCTGCAGAAGTGGTATCTTCGCCTTCTATGTACCAAATTTGCAGCTTGAATGAAGCGGTCGACTAGAAGAGATGGTATCATCAACAACAGCTGAAATGCATGCAATTCTAGAAGCCCTTTATATGATAAGCAAACTGACTCCAAAGGCTGTGCTTGTACTAACAATCTCTCCTGCCGCACTTCAACAGCTGCAAAAACCTCGACAAAGGTCACAAGTAGCCATGGCAGCAAAATCAGTTACGAAATCACTAGAAGCAGACGGTTTCGCAGCTGCCTTTCAGTGGATGCCAGCGCTTCTCGGATTACCTAGAAATGAAAAGGCAGACAAACTTGCTTTCAACGCAAACAATCTGCCCGTTAGCATCAAGACCCAAGACAACCGTATGAAATGTTTCATTATAACTGACCACATATGTGATTTATCCGTAGCTAACTCCTTTTCTCTCCACCCGTGCCTAATAGAAAATCTTCGACGAGTCAAGGCCACACCTCTTTTTCGTCTACG